CGTGATATACTAGGGTTCCCAGAATCAGCCGCATTGCAGCCCTCAGAGGAACCAGCACTAGGCCTGGCAGTCTCCTTGCCAGAAATCTGAGCCCCACTCAGCAATGCCCACTTCTGATCTGGGCAGCAATCCTGAGCGACCAATCTCAAGAGCCCTGAGGCTCATCTGATCCTCTCTTTGGTAACATAGCAGAATTGGCTCAGCAAGCCTGCGCTGACATCACGGGTACAGAAGAACAGGCTGATACCAGCTGCTCTGTCCCAGAGGCTGCCCCTTTCTAGCCAGAAACATTTTTCCTGACCAGGAAGCTGTCATTGCCACATAGATGTTTCCTGTTCCCTGATTCTATAAATATAAGGACACAAGTCCCTCTTTATTGGGGATGCTGCTGGCCATGGTGCAGGCAGGACCGTTCTCGTCCAGCCGGAGTCATGGGATGGAGGGACGCTCCCTCCTCTACCTGCGGCGTCTTCCCTCCAAGAATCTATTTGACATCTCTATCACACAGGCCTAGTGGTGTGTATGACAGTTGGTAACCACAAAGGAAAATTCTCCATCTGTCCTGGTGCCGTGTTCTTTTTGTTTGATTTTAGACAAAGTCTTGCTGTATTGCCCAGGCTGGAGCGCAGTGGCGCAATCTCGGCTCACTGCAACCTCCACCTCCCCAGTTCAAGCGATTCTCCTGCCTCAGCCTCCTGAGTAGCTGGGATTACAGGTGCCCACCACCATGCCTGGCTAATTTTTGTACACACACACACACACACACATGTGTATATATGTGTGTATATATTATATTACTTTTTTTTTTTATACTGAGTCTTGGTGTGTCGTACAGGCTGGAGTGCAGTGGCACGATCTTGGCTCACTGCAACTTCTGCCTCCCCGGTTAAAGCCATTCTCCTGCCTCAGCCTCCCGAGTAGGACTACAGGCACATGCCACCACACCTGGCTAATTTTGTATTTTTAGTAGAGACGGGGTTTCACCATGTTGGCCAGGCTGGTCCTCGAACTCCTGACCTCAATTGATCTGCCCACCTCAGCCTCCGAAAATGCTGAGATTACACATGGGAGCCACCGGCGCCGGCCTGGTGCTGTTTTGACAAGCAGCATGGAGTTTGTCTGGCCCTCTACGGAGGTGGAAGACATTCACTCCTAATGGTGATGGCAGGTCACCTGTAAGGCCAGTGAATAAACTGGATGTCTGTGAAGCAAGGGTGGGCAGCATAGCTGTGGTCAGCTAGTGCAGTGTCCTCTGGAGAGGCGGCCGAGGGGGTGGGATGGCTGTGGTGTCCCCTCACCTGGGACCCGGCGAGGCCCCCTAAGATGCTGTCTGTTCCAGGTCTCAGGTGCAGGGAAAGACAGGTGACTGTAAACAGAATGCGTAAGACACTAAAGGCCCCCAGACAAGCAGGTCATTTGAAAAAAATGGTTCATTGTATACAAAAAGAAATCTCTAGGTAGCGAGGCCGCAGGTTGTCAGAGGAAAGGAGGCAGGAGGCTGGGATGAGGACTTAAGAATGCAGATGCCAATTACAAATTAAGCCGGGTGTGGGGGTGGGCGCCTGTGGTCCCAGCTACTCGGGAGGCTGAGGTGGGAAGATCACTAGAGCCTGGGAGGTCGAGACTATGGTGAGCCATCATCGCGCCATTGTACTCCAGCCTGGGTGACAGACGGAGACCCTGTTTCAGAAAAGAAAAAGACTGGGGCCAAGGAACTGGTAATATCAAAAGGACGACGAGTGTGGCTAGAGGGAACAGAGTGGTAACGTTGGCTCAAAACTGCACCCAAGCAAATGGACTGCGGCCAAAACTGGGATGGGTTTGCCTTTTTATTTTTTTTTTGAGACGGAGTCTCGCTTTGTTGCCCAGGCTGGAATGCGGTGGTGCAATCTTGGCTCACCGCAACCTCCACCTCCCAGGTTCAAGCGATTCTCCTGCCTCAGCCTCCCAAGTAGCTGGGACTACAGGAGCTCGCCACCACGCCCGGCTAATTTTTTTTTTTTTTTTTTTTTGTATTTTTAGTAGAGACAGGATTTCACCGTGTTAGCCAGGATGGTCTCAATCTCCTGACCTTGTGATCCACCCTCCTCGGCCTCCCAAAGTGCTGGGATTACAGGTGTGAGCCACTGCACCCGGCCAGATTTACCTTTTAGAACAAAGACGTAGGCAAGCCAAGGGGCCGATACACAAACTCAGATTAGATTTGGAAAAATTGTGGGTGTTGGACACACGTTTTTGCTTCTCTTGAATATCTAGGATTGGGGATGGCTGGATGGTATAGAAAGTGTATGTATGACTTTATAAGAAATTGCCAAAATCTTTTCCTAAGTAGTTGCACCGTTTGAATTTTGAATTACCACCAGCAATGCGTGAGGGCGTTCTAGTGGCCCTGATCCTTACCAGGACCTGCTATTATCAGCGCTTATAATTTTTTTCTCCTTTTTGAGACAGAGTCTCACTCTGGCACCCAGGCTGGAGGGTAGTGGCGTGATCTCGGCTCACTGCAACCTTCACCTACCGGATTCAAGCAATTCTCCTGCTTCAGCCTTCTGAGTAGCCGAGATTACAGGTGCACACCACCACACCCAGCTAATTTTTTTGTATTTTTAGTAGAGATGTGGGTTCACCATGTTGGTCAAGCTGGTCTCGAACTCCTGACCCCAAATGATCCACCTGCCTCGCCCTCCCAAAGTGCTGGGATTACAGGAGTGAGCCACCGCTCCCAGCAAGTTTTTTTTTTTTTTTTTTTCTCCAGCACAAAGTATTGACTGGGCACAGTGGCTCATACATGTAATCCCAGCACTTTGGGAGGCCAAGGTGGGAGGATCATTTGTGGCCAGGAGTTCAAGACCAGGCTCGGGCAATATAGTGGGACCTCATGCCTACAAAAAATTTTTAAAAATTAGCTGGGTGGGGTGGTGTGTGCACCTGTAATCCCAGCTACATGGGAGGCTGAGGTAGAAGGATCACTTGAGCTCGGGAGTTTGAGGCTGCAGTGAACTATGATTGCACCACTGCACTCCAGCCTAGGTGACAGAGCAAGCCTCTGTCCCCCTCCCCACAAAAAAGTATCAGGTAATGTGTACAAGTTTTTGTTTGAAGACCTGTCTTCAGTTCTTTGGGTAGGTACCTAAGGGTGGAATGACTGGGTCATATAAAGGCTAATTCCGTGCTTAACTTTTTGAGGAACTGCCAAACCGTCACGGTGGCTGGACCATTGTACATTCTCACCATCCATGTACGACGGTTCCCATTTCTTCACCTCCACGCCAAACACATGCTATTTGCATTTCTTCTCTTTTCTTTTTCTTGAGAAGGAGTTTTGCTCTTGTTGCCCAGGCTGGAATGCAATGGCACAATCTTGGCTCACTGCAACCTCTGCCTCCTGGGTCCAAGCGATTCTCCTGCCTCAGCCTCCTGAGTAGCTGGGATTACAGGAACCCGCCACCACGCCTGGCTAATTTTTTGTATTTTTAGTAGAGACGGGGTTTCACCATGTTGGTCAGTCTGGTCTTGAACTCCTGACCTCAGGTGATCCTCCCACCGCGGCCTCTCAAAGTGCTGGGATTACAGGCGTGAGCCACCGTGCCCTGCCCAGTTTGTTTTCTTGACTGTAGCCATCCTAGTGGGTGTGGAGTGGTGCTCCATTGTGGTTTGGTTTGCATTTCCCTAAGGACTAGTTATGCTGAGCATCTGTTCATGTGTTTTTACCAGTCTTACATGCTTTTTTTTTTTTTTTGAGATGGGGTCTCACTCTGTCACCCAGGCTGGAGTACAGTGGCGTGATCATAGCTCACTGCATCCTGAACTCCTGGGCTCAAGCGATTCTCCCACCTCAGCCTACTGAGTAGCTGGGACTACAGTTGCATGCCACCATGCCCAGTTAATTTTTATATATATATATATATATATATATATATATATATATATATATATTTTTTTTTTTTTTTTTTTTTTTTTTTTTTTTTTGAGATGGCATCTTGTTCTGTCACCCAGGCTGGAGTGCTGTGGTGCGATCTTTTTTTTTTTTTTTTTGTTTTTGAGATGGAGTCTCGCTATGTCGCCCAGGGTGGAGTGCAGTGGCCGGATCTCAGCTCACTGCAAGCTCTGCCTCCCGGGTTTTTACGCCATTCTCCTGCCTCAGCCTCCCGAGTAGCCGGGACTACAGGCGCCCACCACCTCGCCCGGCTAGTTTTTTGTATTTTTTAGTAGAGACGGGGTTTCACCGTGTTAGCCAGGATGGTCTCGAACTCCTGACCTCGTGATCCGCCCGTCTCGGTCTCCCAAAGTGCTGGGATTACAGGCTTGAGCCGCTGCGCCCGGCCTGTGGTGCGATCTTGGCTCACTGCAAGCTCCGCCTCCCGGGTTCACATCATTCTCCTGCCTCAGCCTTCCAAGTAGCTGGGACTACAGGCGCCCGCTACCACACCTGGCTAATTTTTTGTATTTTAATAGAGACAGGGTTTCACTGTGTTAGCCAGGATGGTCTCGATCTCCTGACTTCGTGATCTGCCCACCTCAGCCTCCCAGAGTGCTGGGATTACAGGCGTGAGCCACTGCACCTGGCCAATATAAAAAAATTTTTTAGTAGAGACAAGATTTCACTATGTTGCCCAGGCTGGTCTCAAACTCCTGAGCTCAAATGATCCTCCTGCCTTGGCCTCCTGAGTAGCTGGGATTACAGGTGCACACCACTATACTCGGCTAAGTTTACTTTTTGTTTGTTTGTTTTATAGAGATGGGGGTTTCATTATGTTGCTCAGGCTGGTCTGGAACTCTTGGGCTCAAGCGATTCTCCTGCCTTGGCCTCCCAAAGTGCTGGGATTACAGGTGTGAGCCACTGCGCCCGGCCTTACGTATTCTTTGGAAGAAATGGCTTTTGGGTAATGGCTTGCATTGTTGTGTTGTATCAGCTGCCGTCCAGTCGAAGCTAACTAAGGGCAGGTGGGTGTTGAATGAGGACAATGTTCACCTGCCCTTAGTTAGCTGTGACTGCGATAACAAAGACCCTGTTATCCCAATCATCATCACGAGGACTAGCTGCGCCGCAGCTTAAAGGGACATTTCATAGCTTAAAAAAGACAAACTGTTGGTCCTGCCACCTCCGACTACAAAGGTGTCGCTACTGATAAGCTTTTTTGGATCTTGAAGATGCCACATCTCACGTGTGGAAATTTCACTAATGCGGCTGTAGCAAGTGACCAGACAGATGGCCGCATTTGAGTGGGAGCCTCTTTAGCAAGAGCTTTTTAAAATCTAGCTCCACCCAGGAGCTCTTTATCTTCTTCAGAACCCACGGAATTACAGACGTCTGCACCAACCTCCGTGGGACCTCGGAGTCCAGGAGAACGAATACGAAGGCGCTGATGCTCATGCTGCCTGCTGGCTGGTGAGTAATAAAGTTATTTGTCTCTGGCCCAGGAGTCTTGTGTCTTCTGGCAACATTTGTGAAACAGTAATGGGGTAGCTTGTTTTATTTTTGTTTTTTATTTTATTGATTGATTGACTGAATTAGGGACAGGGTCTCACTCTGTCACCCAGGCTGGAGTGCAATGGTGCACTCCAGCCTGGGCTCAAGTGATTCCCCTACCTCAGCCTCCCGAGTAGCTGGGACTACAGGTGCATGCCACTGTGCCCAGCTAATTTTTTATTTTTTGTAGAGACAGGGTATGGCTACATTGCCCAGAGATGGGCTTTCATTATGTTGCTCAGGCTGGTCTGGAACTCTTGGGCTCAAGCGATTCTCCTGCCTTGGCCTCCCAGAGTGCTGGGATTACAGGTGTGAGCCACTGCGCCCAGCCTTACGTATTCTTTGGAAGAAATGGCTTTTGGGTAATGGCTTGCATTGTTGTGTTGTATCAGCTGCCGTCCAGTCGAAGCTAACTAAGGGCAGGTGGGTGTTGAATGAGGACAATGTTCACCTGCCCTTAGTTAGCTGTGACTGCGATAACAAAGACCCTGTTATCCCAATCATCATCACGAGGACTAGCTGCGCCGCAGCTTAAAGGGACATCTCATAGCTTAAAAGAGACAAACTATTGGTCCTCCTGGGCTCAAGAGATTCTCCTGCTTCAGCCTCTCAAGGTGCTGGGATTATAGGCATGAGGCCACCGCACCCGGCCCAGGCTGGCTTGTAAGTAGGACAAAATGAAAGTCCGGACCTGGTAGTGTTGAAGAGGATGGGATGTTGACAAAGGTGTGGCTTTCTGGAATTGGAAGGACAGGGCCTCCATGGGCCTGGTTCAAAAATATGAGAAGAGCCGGGCGCGGTGGCTCAAGCCTGTAATCCCAGCACTTTGGGAGGCCGAGACGGGCGGATCACGAGGTCAGGAGATCGAGACCATCCTGGCCGACACGGTGAAACCCCGTCTCTACTAAAAAATACAGAAAACTAGCCGGGCGAGGTGGCGGGCGCCTGTAGTCTCAGCTACTCGGGAGGCTGAGGCAGGAGAACGGCGTGAACCCGGGAGGCGGAGCTTGCAGTGAGCTGAGATCCGGCCACTGCACTCCAGCCTGGGCGGCAGAGCGAGACTCCGTCTCAGAAAAAAAAAAAAAAAAAAAAAAAAAAAAAAAAAAAAAATATATATATATATATATATATGAGAAGAATCCCTAGGATCCAGTAGGGAATTCTCTCATCCAAGTAGAGGAGGATGGCCAGCAATAGGGGTCCCCACTGTCCTATTTTTGAGATGGAATTTTGCTCTCATCCCCCAAGCTGGAGTGCAATGGTGAGATCTCGGCTCACTGCAACCTCCACCTCCTGGGTTCAAGCAATTCTCCTGCCTCAGCCTCCCGAGTAGCTGGGATTACAGGCATGCGCCACCACACCTGACTAATTTTGTATTTTTAGTAGAGACGGGGTTTCTCCATGTTGGCCAGGCTGGTCTTGAACTCCCGACCTCAGGTGATCCACCTACTTCAGCCTCCCAAAGTGCTGGGATTACAGGCGTGAGCCACCGCACCCAGCCTTTTGTTTGCTTGTTTGTTTTTTTGAGATGGAGTTTCACTCTTGTTGCTCAGGCTGGAGTGCAATGGCATGATCTCCGCTCACTGCAACCTCCGCCTCCCAGGTTCAAGCAATTCTCCTGCCTCAGTCTCCCGAGTAGCTGGGACTACAGGTGTGCACCACCACGCCTGGCTAATTTTGTATTTTTGGTAGAGACGGAGTTTCTCCATGTTGGTCAGTCTGGTCTTGAACTCCTGACCTCAAGTGATTCGCCCGCCTTGGCCTCCCAAAGTGCTGGGACTACAGGTGTGAGTCACCACGCCAGACCAACAGTGAGTTTTTTTCCCCTGCCTTTGCTGTCCCCCTAGGCTACTCCCCAGCCCCAAGTTGCTCCAGGGCTGAGGCTGTGGTCCCTGACCCACAGACTTCTAGGTTCAAGTGCCTGAATTCAACGAATCAGGCTCGCAGTGGGAAGGGAAGCTGAAGTGCTCTAGTTGGGTGTGGCGCTTTGGGCCAATTTAACGTCCTGCTGTGTGGTTTCCACGACTGAGCGGGTATAATTGGTACTGATGTCTTACATGCTCGAACAACGAACGCCCCGTTATCAGGGGATTCTATCGGTCAGGGGCTGTGGCATGTGCTGCCCTCTTCCCCTTTACGGGGAACGATGTGGGATCCCGGTAGAAAAGGAAACACAGCTTTAATGACTAAATGGCTGCTGGAGTGCTCCGGGAAGCCGTTTCCCAGTGCCACAGCGCCACCTGCCTGACACGGCCACCAAGTACACCCCTTTTAAAAAGAAAAGGCAGCTAGGCTGAGTGCTGCGGCTCACACTGGGAGGTGGGCGGATCGCTTGAGTCCAGGAGTTCAAGACAAGCCTGGGCGATATAGTGAAACCCCATCTCTATTTTTTACATTTAATTTAATTTTTATTTATCTATTTTTAGACAGAGTCTCTCTCTCTCTCTCTCTCACCAGGCTGGAGTGCAGCGGTGCCATCTCGGCTGCAACCTCCACCTCCTGGGTTCAAGCGAGTCTCCTGCCTCAGCCTCCCGAGTAGCTGGGATAACAGGCGTCTGCCACCACCCCAGCTAACTTTTGTATTTTTAGTAGAGACGGGGTTTCACCATGTTGGCTAGGATGGTCTCAATTTCTTGACCTCGGGATCCACCCCTTCGGCCTCCCAAAGTGCTGGGATTACAGGCGTGAGCCACCGTGCCCGGCCCTGTCTCTTTTAATAATAACAATTAAAAAAAAAAAAAAACACTATGAATCGCTATTAAGCTCTCATTGAAAGCAAATACCTGGCCTGTGGAGGCCTTTAACTCCCCAGCCTCACACCCTCATTCTCAGGTAGGTTAACTGGAACTTCACTAGTAATACTGGAAATGGCCAAAGGTAAAGGGTACATCCGAGAGCACAGCCGGTCTGGTCCTCAGGTCATGTGAGTTTTACATACAAGTCACAGCTACCCCTGTTTCTTTCATTTTCTGTTTTGAGACAGTCTTGCTGTGTTGCCCAGGCTGGAGTGCAGTGGCATGATCGTGGCTCACTGCAGCCTGGAACTCCTGGGCTCAAGTGATCCTCCCACCTCAACCTCCTGAGTAACTGGGACTCTAGGCGTGCACCAGCACACCTGGTTAATTTAAAAAAATTTTTTTCAGAGACAGAGTCTCACTGTGTTGCCCAGGCTGGTCTTCAACTCCTGGGCTCAAGCGATCCTCCTGCCTCGGCCTCCCAAAGTGCTGGAATTACAAGTGTGAGGCACCGCACCCAGCAGCAGCTACCCCATTTGGAGAAAACTCGCCTCCACTCCCCTGCCTGAGGCAATTTCTCTGGCTCATGGGGCCCTCGATTCACAAGGGTTCCCTTAAACGGCTGGGCGCGTTCCACTATGTTAAACCTAAAGATGTCCACTAGGGGGCAGCAACCACCTAACCCCAACACTAACTCCGGAAGACATTGATTGCAGTTTAGTTGATATTTAAGGTATTCAATGGGACTTTGTAACTTCTTCACTATCTGCGGGTGTCTAGTATTATTGATTGTTGGATCATCTTCCTCAAGAATCGGCTCAAAAAGGTTTCTGGTTTCCCCTTCCCACCTCTTCCTGATCCACACACTTTATTTATTTTTTGAAACAGACACTGTGTCACCCAGGTTGGAGTGCAGTGGTGCCATCTCGGCTCACTGCAACCTCCGCCTCCTGGGTTCAAGCGATTCTCCTGCCTCAGCCTCCCAAGTACCTGGGATTACAGGTGTGCACCATCACGCCCGGCTGATTTTTGTATTTTTGGTAGAGACGGGGTTTCGCCATGTTGGCCAGGCTGGTCTCGAACCCCTGACCTCAACTGATCCGCCTGCCTCAGCCTCCCAAAGTGCTGGGATTACAGGCGTGAGTCACCGCACCTGGCCACACACACTTTACTCAGGCTGTTTGGTCACTGAATGTGGCAGTCCCGGAAGAGGCTTCATCTCTCCTTGGCTGCATGTTGGATAGTCACTGAGAAGGAAGTGTTGGAGGAGTTACAGAGACCTATTCTGAAAATGTACGATTCTGCCCACTGACCATCGTCAGAATGATGAATCTGTCTTTCCGCTGGACAGATGGTGGTCACACTCTCCAGATGGCAGTTTAGCCCTGAGGGGGCCAAGTAGGGGATTCAAACTAATGCTGGTTTAGGCACCAGAATCCGCTTGTTGGACCAACATGGTGCTAGATCAGGAGTTGACACACTACACAGCCTGTGGGATACATCTGGCCCGTGACCTGTGTCTGTATGGTCCATAAGCTAACAAAGGTTTTTACATATTTTAAAAAATTTGTGGTTTTTTGTTTCTTTGTTTTTTGGAGACAGAGTCTCACTTTGTTGCCCAGGCTGGAGTGCAGTGGTGTGATCTTGGCTCACTGCAACCTCCGCCTCCTGGGTTCAAGCGATTCTCCTGCCTCAGTTTCCCAAGTAGCTGGCATTAAAGGCGCCTGCCACCACGCCCGGCTAACTTTTGTATTTTTAGTAGCGGCGTGGTTTCTCCATGTTGGCCATCCTGGTCTCAAACTCCTGACCTCAAGTGATCCACCTTCCTCAGCCTCCCAAAGTGCTAGAATTACAGGCAGGAGCCACTGCCAGGCCAAAAAATAAAATAAAAGCCAGGTGTGTTGGTTCACCCCTGTAATCCTAGCACTTGGGGAGGCTAAGGCAGAAGGATCACTTGAGCCCAGGAGTTCAAGACTAGCCTGGGCTACATGGTGAAAGCCTGTCTCTACAAAAAATTAAAAATTGGCTGGGTGTGCTGGTGCATGCCTGCAGTCCCAGCTACTCAGGAGGCTAAGGTGGGAGGATCACTTGACTGGGAGGTTGTGGCTACAGTGAGCTATTATTGTACCACTGCACTTCAGGCTGGGCGACAGAGCAAGATCTTGTTTCAAAAAGAAAAAATAA